TCTGAGATCGACCCTCATGGTCTCTGAGCAGCCCAGCTTTTGAGAAAGTAAACGCCTCTTCGATTTCTGAGCAGGCGCCTCTTCGATTTCTGAAGCTCTGTCGAGTGCAGATTTTTATAAAGGCTGGCATTAAGTTCCAAAGCACACTTGAATCTCCACCAGTAGAAGGTTCATTCTTGCACTTCTAAGATCTTGATTTGTCCGACCTCTTCTCTCTTCAACACTTTTGAAAATGTTTGGCCCCTCCGACCGTCGTTTTGACTTGAACCTTGTTGAAGAGGCAGCCACGCCTTCTCCAGACAACATATGGCGCCCATCCTTCGTCTCCCATACTGGTCCTCTTACCGTTGGTGATTCCGTGATGAAGAATGATATGACTGCTGCGGTGGTGGCCAGGAACCTTCTCACTCCCAAAGATAACATACTATTTTCCAAACGATCTGATGAGTTGGCTATTAAGGATTCTCTGGCTCTCAGTGTTCAGTGTGCAGGTTTTGTGTCTAATATGGCCCAACGCCTATTTTCTCGAACCCGCCAAGTTGAATCATTGGCAGCTGAAGTGATGAGTCTCAAACAGAAGATTAGAGGACTCAAGCATGAGAATAAACAGTTGCACCGGCTCGCACATGACTATGCTACAAACATGAAGAGGAAGCTTGACCAGATGAAGGAATCTGATGGTCAGGTTTTACTTGATCATCAGAGATTTGTGGGTTTGTTCCAAAGGCATTTATTGCCTTCGTCTTTTGGGGCTCTACCGCTTAATGAAGCTCTAAATGATCAACCTTTGATGCCTCCTCTTTCTAGGGTTCTGTCCAGTACTGAGGCTCCGAATGATCCCCCTCCGGTGCCTTCTCTTTCTGGGGCTCTACCGACTGCTGAGACTTCTCCTAAGAAACCTTTGTGAAGGCTCCCTCTTGTTTGTTTATTTTGACTCATGTATATGTACATATTTGTAACTTATCGGGGATATCAATAAATAAGCTTTCCTTCATTTCAACGTATTGTGTTAAATACACCAAAGCCTTCTTCGCTAAGTTTTTTGAATTTTCTTTTGTTGAAGCTTGTATGTTGAAGCTTTGTGAGTGGAGCATGTAGGTTGAGGTAGTGTTCCCTTAATTTTCCGAGTGAGGAAAACTTCTCGGTTGGAGACTTGGAAAATCCAAGTCACTGAGTGGGATCAGCTATATGAATCTTAGAACGTCATTGTACTCGGTCCTGTGTCATGCCCTCCGTTAGATCCAAGTACTCTAAGTCTTTTCTTAGAGTCTCTTCCAAAGTTTTCCTAGGTCTTCCTCTACCCCTTCGGCCCTGAACCTCTGTCCCATAGTCGCATCTTCTAATCGGAGCGTTAGTATGCCTTCTTTGCACATGTCCAAACCACCGTAATCGATTTTCTCTCATCTTTCCTTCAATTTCAGCTACTCCTACTTTACCCCGGATATCCTCATTCCTAATCTTATCCTTTCTCGTGTGCCCACACATCCAACGAAGCATCCTCATCTCCGATACACCCATTTTGTGTACGTGTTGATGCTTCACCGCCCAACATTCTGTGCCATACAGCATCGCTGGCCTTATTGTCGTCCTATAAAATTTTTCCTTGAGCTTCAGTGGCATACGGCGGTCACACAACACACCGGATGCACTCTTCCACTTCATCCATCCAGCTTGTATTCTATGGTTGAGATCTCCATCTAATTCTCCGTTCTTTTGCAAGATAAATCCTAGGTAACGAAAACGGTCGCTCTTTGGTATTTCTTGATCTCCGATCCTCACCCCTAACTCGTTTTGGCCTCCATTTGCACTGAACTTGCACTCCATATATTCTGTCTTTGATCGGCTTAGGCGAAGACCTTTAGATTCCAACACTTCTCTCCAAAGGTTAAGCTTTGCATTTACCCCTTCCTGAGTTTCATCTATCAACACTATATCGTCTGCGAAAAGCATACACCAAGGAATATCATCTTGAATATGTCATGTTAACTCATCCATTACCAACGCAAAAAGGTAAGGACTTAAGGATGAGCCTTGATGTAATCCTACAGTTATGGGAAAACTTTCGGTTTGTCCTTCATGAGTTCTTACGGCAGTCTTTGCTCCTTCATACATATCTTTTATAGCTTGGATATATGCTACTCGTACTCCTTTCTTCTCTAAAATCCTCCAAAGAATGTCTCTTGGGACCCTATCATACGTTTTTTCCAAATCTATAAAGACCATGTGTAAATCCTTTTTCCCATCTCTATATCTTTCCATCAATCTTCGTAAGAGATAGATTGCCTCCATGGTTGAACGCCCTGGCATGAACCCGACTTGGTTGTCCGAAACCCGTGTCTCTTGCCTCAATTTATGCTCAATGACTCTCTCTCAGAGCTTCATTGTATGACTCATTAGCTTAATACCCCTATAGTTCATGCAATTTTGTACGTCGCCCTTATTCTTGTAGATAGGCACCAAAGTGCTCGTTCGCCACTCATTTGGCATCTTCTTCGTTTTCAAAATCCTATTGAAAAGGTCAATGAGCCATGTTATACCTGTCTCTCCCAAAACTTTCCACACTTCGATTGGTATATCGTCTGGGCCTACTGCTTTTCTATGCTTCATCTTCTTCAAAGCTACAACCACTTCTTCCTTCCAGATTCGACGATAAAAAGAGTAGTTTCTACGCTCTTCTGAGTTACTCAACTCCCCTAAAGAAGCACTCCTTTGATGTCCTTCATTGAAAAGATTATGAAAATAACCTCTCCATCTGTCTTTAATCGCGTTCTCTATAGCAAGAACCTTTCCATCCTCATCCTTGATGCACCTCACTTGGTTTAGGTCCCTTGTCTTCTTTTCCCTTGCTCTAGCTAGTTTATAGATATCCAACTCTCCTTCTTTGGTATGTAGTCGCTTCTACATATCGTCATAAGCCGCTAACTTAGCTTCTCTCACAGCTTTCTTCGCCTCTTGCTTCGCTTGTCTATACCTTTCACCATTTTCATCGGTCCTATCCTTGTATAAGGCTTTACAACATTCCTTCTTAGCCTTCACCTTTGTTTGTACCTCCTCATTCCACCACCAAGATTCCTTTTGGTGTAGGGCAAAGCCCTTGGACTCTCCTAATACCTCTTTTGCTACTTTTCGGATACAACTAGCCATGGAATCCCACATTTTGCTAGCTTCCCCCTCTCTATCCCACACACACTGGGTGATTACTTTCTCTTTGAAAATGGCTTGTTTTTCTTCTTTTAGATTCCACCATCTAGTCCTTGGGCACTTCCAAGTCTTGTTCTTTTTTCTCACTCTTTTGATATATACATCCATCACCAACAAGCGATGTTGATTAGCCACGCTCTCTCCTGGTATAACTTTGCAATCCTTACAAGTTATACGATCCCTTTGCCTCATTAGAAGAAAATCTATTTGTGTTTTTTGACGACCCACTCTTGTAGGTGATCACATGTTCTTCTCTCTTCTTAAAGAAGGTGTTGGCTAAGAAGAGATCATATGCCATTGCAAAATCCAAGATAGCTTCCCCATCCTCGTTTCTCTCCCCAAAACCATGGCCACCATGAAAACCTCCATAGTTGCCTGTCTCCCTGCCCACGTGTCCATTTAAATCTCCTCCTATAAATAACTTCTCCGTCTGAGCAATTCCTTGCACCAAGTCTCCAAGGTCTTCCCAAAATTTCTCCTTCGAACTCGTATCCAACCCTACTTGAGGTGCGTACGCACTAATCACATTGATAAGTTATTGTTCTATTACAATCTTGATTGCCATGATTCTATCTCCTACCCTCTTGACATCTACAACATCTTGTGTCAAGGTCTTGTCCACGATGATGCCAACACCGTTTCTCGTTCTATTTGTGCCCGAATACCAAAGTTAAACCCTGAGTTTTCTAGATCCTTTGCCTTACGACCAACCCACTTAGTTTCTTGTAGGCACTTAATATTTATCTTTCTCCTCACCATAACTTCCACTACTTCCATAGATTTTCCCGTTAACGTTCCTATATTCCACATTCCTAAACGCATTTTGCTCTCTTGCACTCTTCCCTTCTGTCCTAGCTTCTTCACCATCCCCCGTCTAATAGGATCAAAGTACTTCTTTTGTGTGTCCCGTGTAAAGTTGATAGGAGCATATGCTCCCAAACAACTTTGAGTGGAGTCGTTCGAAAAGAAGTTTCTATGGCCCCCTTGCTCATTTAACACTGCATCCGGGTGCCGATGGAGATACAGCGACCCTTGCTCACTTATCACTGTGCTCGGGCCACACAGCGCGCCACTTACGGGTGACGCCCTAGCTTTAGCGCGATTTCGTTCTGGATTCATTTTCATAAGGATTCAACGTAATCATGGAGTGCCGGCTGTCGACTACCTGACGCCCTCCCCCTCCTCCTTTATCCGGGCTTGGGACCGGCAATGTAAGATAAACTTACACAGGCGGAGTTCTCTAGCATCACCAAAATAAAAAAATAAAAATAAAAAACCATTTTGATAACCAAAAGCATTTATGACAGCGTTAGTGGAAAAAGTTAAATGAACGCATATTAGTGTCTAGGCACTCCCATATCTTCTATATCTTAGTACACTTTTGAGAAGTGCTTTGAAATAACTAAGAGTGTTTTTAGTGAAAATGCTCTTAAAAACAATCCTTAGTAAAAATCCAAGTAGATCATAGAAAAACAGTTTTAATGCTTCCTGCAAAAGGCACATATATGATGTTTCTTCTATAAAGCACTTCAGATGCTTTCGGAATCCAAAATAATCTAACAAAAAACATTTTCGGTCATTTTAAAAGTACTTTCCAAATGAGTTCTTATAGTGAAAATGGACATGGTCATAACACTTGATAGGTGGGGTTGGAAATGCAAAAGGGTAAGCCTGGGGTGAATTTTTGTGCATGGGTCGTGGGGATGAGTTAGTCCGCCGGGCGGGGACTCTAGAATTTCTCCACAACGGCAGTTCTTGGGAAAAAAAAAGGAAAATATAGTCTATAATGATGCAGAGAATAAATGCCAGATAAAATACATCTTTATTCATGCAATTCTAGTTGCTTTACACATCATGCAGCTGAAAATCCAAGACGCAATTCAACAGAGGTAAATGCACACCACTTTATGGAATTGCCTAGGCGCTAGGCTAGGCGGGAACTTTTAGAACACTACTAGATATGCATGCCATTGCCCGGGTAATGTTATTTACTATGTATCCATCAGGGAGCTTTCAATATCGATCACAAACCGGTACTTCACCTCTTTCTTCACTAGCCTCTCGAGCGCTTCAGTTGCATATTGAATTGGAATTATTTCAATCATTGGGTGAATTCCCTGAGCCGCACAGAAATCAATCATTTCTTGCGTGTCCTTTGTTCCGCCTGTTACACTGCCAGAAATGGATTTCATCCCTGCCAAAATATAAATGCATGGGGTTGATTATACTTGCAAGTTGTACCACTACTAAGAGAGCTGGATACATGAAATGAAACCATAATTTCAATCATTGGAGAAATGCTCAAGTACCCAGATTAAGGCTTGCAGGACTGAATTTAACTTCACTTGGGAATCCCACCAAGGCCAGAGTTCCGCCCGTCTTCAACAATGCCATATATGGATCAAATGGGTGATCACCAGATGCTGTATCAATTAGGAAGTCAAATGACTTCACCAGTGACTGCAGAGCAAACAATAACCGGTAAACATACTGTTCACGTGATTAGCTAAGAAAAGAAGTTTGCTTTATAAGAAAATCTTTGTATTTTTACCGCCATCTGCTTTTGGTCGGATGAAACGACAAATTTATCAGCACCAAGTTGGCTTAGAGCTTCCTCTTTCTTGGATATGCTTGTGCTAAAAACTGTTACATTTAAACCAAATGCCTTGCCAAACTTCACTGCCATGTGACCAAGACCACCAAGACCAATCACTCCTAGAGATTTACCAGGTTGGTTCATCTTATGGCGCTTCATAGGAGCATAAACAGTAATTCCAGCACAAAGCAAAGGTGCTGCTGAAGCCAAGGGATAGTTGTCAGGTATCTTGAAGCAGTATCTGTAAAGATGAATTGGCAGAGAAATGTTATGAAATTGTTGCAAAGAAAAGTTCGACTTCTCTAGTCATGAATTATATTACTACAAGAATTAATTGATGCAAAAGCGTTAAAATCATACGATTCATACCTTTCATGGACAACTATGTGACTGGAGTATCCTCCTTTTGTAATTGTACCATCCGCATCAACAGCATTGAAAGTGTAAACTGAACCCTTTACGCAGTCGACTTCAAGTCCCTCATTACAATACTCACAATCACGGCATGAGTTGACATAAGTTCCCACTCCAACATGGTCGCCAACTTTGAAGCGATGACAATTTGAACCAACCTCTTTTACAACACCGGCAATCTCATGTCTGGTTGCAAATAATCACAAACAGAACAGACAGATTTAGAAGGAGAACACGAGGGTTACATTATTCATCATCATACTGTCAGAACACATACCCAGGAACCAAAGGATACTTCGAATCTCCATGTTTATTTCTTGACCAAATCACATCAGCATAACAAACTCCGCAGTGAGTAATTCTTATGGAAACATCGTCAGCCCCAAGAGCCCTGAAGTAAGCATCCCACCCAAATAATAAGTAGAATGACTAGAATACAATGTCAAGGAACTTAATCAACTTAGAACGCCATGGAAGTTACAAAAGTTCATGATTGTAATTTTGCAACTAACAGTCTAAAAGTCTTCATCAATAAATCATGCTCAACCGCATTATTTTCACTCAGGAAGAGAACTTGGAATTTACCGAGTGATGCAACACGAAAAAGACATCATCTTCCAATTATATTTCATTGAGAAACCAATCAATGCAATATTGAGACAGTAAGGACGATTGAAAACATACCTGCGGTTGAATTTGTAATGGGATAGAACTCCAGATGGATCCCTTGCAGCATATCCAACGCAGTTCTCATTTGCGCCGTCGGAGCTCATCGTTTAACTATCAATCCACCATAAGCATATAGCAATCAAACACACATTTTTTTGTCATCATAAGATGATCTAGAAATTCGGAAAAGAGTCGAAAGCACTTGCAAGAAGATAAATGATTTTCAACCTCGCTGTTTATCCGCTTGCACTACCCCCTCTTGTTTCTAGCCATATGAACGAATAAATAAACAGCGAGTCCAGTGACAGAAACAAGCAGGGGAAGTGCAGGAGGAAAAAAATGGAGTGTGAAAATCATTTCCCCAACTGAGCAGAGCTCATTCGCATTCAAAGGAAACGCCTGGAAACAATAAAACATACTGCCCTTGTTTTTGGGGTCTAGAATTTCGAAAACCCATTAGATTTCAGATTTAAATACTGCCCTTGTTTCAGAACTCAGATTCAAATATGATTGAGAATCCAACCCACTTAATAATCTTTGTTTTTGTTCTCAGTCATATAGAATTATAAATCAGTTTTGTTCTTGCAAACATGAATACATATATGAATTGCAGATGAAATAAATCATAAAATTATCAAAGCAAGCGAAAATGGAGAAGAGTGAAGGGAAGGTGCGTTTACCAGAAAAAGATACCAGCAAACAAGAGAGAGATCACTTTTGTTTTTGCTCTCCGGAGAGTTCCTTGTCTTGTATTTATAGTGAAAAATCAACCACCTCCAACGAAGATCTCGTAATCTTCCAATCATATCCGTTCATCGTATATCGTACGATCAATTTGTTAATTTTATCAAATACCGTTTATATTTAATTTTAAATAAAAAATATTATAATAATTCTTGACCGCACGATATACCACCTCGAATGAGGATCCTCATCGTATCCTCTTCATGAGGATCCTCTCCGGATCCTCTTTGTGAGAATCCCGAAATCTTTCAATCACATTCGTTCATCGTATATCGTACGATCAGTTTTGTCTGTTACTGTATATATTTAATTTTAAATAAAAAAATTATAATAATTTTTAACCGCACAATATACAATGAACCGATGTGATTAGAAAATCATCGAGATCTACATACACAAAGAGAATCCAAAAAGATCATTTTCATCCACCTCGGCGTCTAGCGTTCATTGTCAACTCAACTCTAATCTTTATCCATACAAAAAGGGAAACTTTTATTAATACCCAAATTATTCTTTTTTATGCCAGAAAATTAAGAACATAAATCTTGTAGCCCAAACAAGATTTACAAATAAGAACGAGTACTTTTGTACTTCATGTTTCATTTTTTTTCTTGTTAAGAGTTTCATGAAACTATTAGTTGTATTTCAGACTTTTATTAATAAAATAGTCATGTTATTCTTACCATGTTTTTATACCACATTTATATATCACCTTATATGACATCTGATGATGTAGACAAACACATTATTTAAATTAATCACAATTTAATTTAAATTAAAATAATTTAATAAACCAATAATTAAAAAAGAAAATGGAATTAAATGGTGATTGTGGTATACGAGGAGTCTTCTGTTTCTTCTCCGGTTTCTTCTTCCAATTCTTTCATTCCATTTTTTTTCCTGCTGCCTCGCCATTGATGGAAGTAAACGAAGTAATGGAGCTATACGATTCTTTTTGGTTCGAGCTCCTGATCCTTAAGAAACAACCGGTTTCATCGAACCCATCAAATTTCGAAGAACACCCAATCATGACATGGACGACAACCCAGAAAACCCATCAAAGCCAGAGTTTTAACGGATTCCAACCAGGCACACCAAGTCCATGGGTGACAAGTTGAGTTCCAATACGGGTGGGCACTAGCCCCTTGGGTATCCCAAAATTTGAGCAAAACCCGCCCTCCTGAGTCCCCCGTAGTATGCATAGCGCCTCAGTACTTTGATTGCTTCGGGCGCGGGAACCCCGATCAGCAGAAGCTCAAGAACGCCCTTAGCCCTGGCGAATATTTTCAGGTCCTCGCAGTTGTCGAGACATTCATGCAACTCTCGATCGGACTGAAAGTGCATGTAATTCTGTACAATTTGACCATCGGCCAAGCCATGTGCAAACGCCTCCGTGGATGCGCATGCGGTAGTGCTTATAGGGGCCAAAAGACTCACAGAGGCATTTCAGTCTTCTCCTAGCCACAGTCAAGGAAACTCACCAACATGGAGCCTCGAATCTGGGATCTCCCTGTATTTTGAGAGTCGAAATTCGCACCCTTACTACTGGGTGACTTGATGTGGTTGATTAATCTTATCATTGAATGAACCAAATTAAAAAAAAAAACATAATGATATGAAACCAAACTAGTCTAATATTTTTAATTTTTTGAACTTTTATCTTAGGACGCCCCGATCTTCAAATCCTAAATCCGCCAGGCACTCAGGTGCGGTGGCCCTGGTGATGAAGACTCAGAAACGCCGCCGTGCCGAGATGGAGATGCCTTATGCATGTGTGATGACTCATGACTAAGGATGGGTAACCGCGGTTACTCGCCCATTTAAATTAAACGGTTACGGTTATGGGTAACCGTTTAAATAAATAAACGGTTATGGGTATAACCGTTTACCCGTGAAATTTAAATGAGCGGTTATGGGTATTAACTGCGGTTATAAACGGTTAACCTTTTACCCATTTATTTTATATATATATAAAACTAACACAAACCATGTTCTCGATCTAATAATACTTAGCATCCAATAAATTAGCAAGGAATTCATCGGTCCTTCTCTCAATAACACTGCTACAGGAATAATGATTCTCATCATCAAGAAATTGGCCAAATTAATTTAAATTCCTTGTGGGTAACCGTGAAATTGACAGAAATGCTTTGACATAAATGTCTTCTAAACAATTTTTGTAACCCAATAATACTTAGCAAATATTATTTTTACCTTAATTGGTAACAGTTAAAAATATCGTCAGTAAACTATTATTTCAATTATTAGAATGGTATAAAGACTTAAAAAATTAAAATATGGAAATGTATGATGAATGTATATATAACGGTGTTTAATTGTAAAAAAAAATTAACATTATTACAATTTGTTTTTTAATTTTTAAGTTGTTAAAAAACATGTAGACGGGTGAAAAAGGGGTAATGATAAAAAAAATAAAAATAAAAAATAAACGGGTTAAAAAAGATAAATGAGTAAACGGGTATTAAACGGTTACGGTTAAATGGGTATGCGGTTATGGGTATGGTTAACCGTTTATAAACGGTTATGGGTATGAGTATAACCGTTTAGACAATTACCCAACGGGTAAATGGTTATGTGGGTATCAGCATAAACGGTTATGGGTAAATAACCGCGGTTACCCGCCCGTCATAACCATTGCCCATCCCTACTCACGACTGCGTTATAAATCGGAACTCGATTATATTAGGTATGAATTGGAAACTTGATTTCATCTGTACACACAATTATTCCACCAACACTCCTTAATTTTTTTTTCTTAATACAAGCGATATTGTAAAAATTCGTGTTCTTGACTTAACTCTAGTACAAAAATGGGCAGAAGATAATGGAAAAGTAGGATTATTAACAAAAAAGTGTTATTCGTTTTTTCTCGATTGCAAATCACAGTTTAACCCATACAAAATAAAATAAAGGACCAGTAGATCATAGTCAGAGCGCCAGGAAGGCTTCAACAGCTATCATACCACATCCCCTAAATTCTATACAATTCCAAAATTAATCCGCATCCATGACAAAAAGAACAAAACCCTTGGCCAAAAGAAAAACACACAAACATTTCCCCCGACCACATATTTAACACATCGGATCGAACTCCATAACCCGTCAGCAGTCTTGGGCAGCAGCAGCATCGGTATCCCAGTCGTCTTCCTCTCCCAACTCGTACTTACTGAAGTGCTTTACCCTGAACTTCCACTCGCCTTTCAAGGCATCATAAGAAACAAATTCGGCTCCTTGATCCTCTGCCTTCTTCTTCAGCATCTGCTTGTATCTCTCAGTCTTTGGGCCTTCTGTGAACTGACGTCCTGTTTTCTTGTCAGTGCATGTAATGTTGAGAAGTGTAACCTCAGCAGGTTTGTTGAGGCCTTGCCCGACGGGAGGTTTCTTATTGTCATCCATGTACACTATCACCTCCCGATTGTTGAACTGCACCAGAGCCTCGAGATCAAGGCATCGCACATCTGTCTCCCCAAAGAACTTGATGCTACCATACCCAACTCGTCCAACCACAAAGTCCTTGACACGACAGCAGAACCCCGGGTCCAACCTTTCCTTAGCTGCCAATTCTTGGATTCGAGGCTCTGTATAATAGTCTGTACGCCGGAGCTTTGGCATTAGGGCCTCAATGTCAGCACCATGCTCATATGCAATAGCAGCCTCACCGGCTCTATGCCCACTTAGTGTCATATATGAGTCCCCTTTCTGAACAGAATGATCATCATGAATTCCATTAGGTTTCTGGTTGACTTTGACATGATTCGCCCGCTCTTTCACAATTCCATTTTCTTTTGGCGTTTCTGAAACAACGTTAAGCAAGTCTGTCAACACCACAGATACTATCAACCAAATACATTCTCGCTTAATATCTTTGTTACTTTTTAACAGCTCTGAACTTTAAAATGCAACCACAAAAATACAGTAACAAGAAACCACAAGCCAAGTGAAAACAAAAATCATAAAAGCATATACTCACTATCTTTATCCTCAGAGCCTGCTTCTCCTAGAATTTTTCCTGAAACAATATTTTGTTCAGAAGAGTAAGCAATGTGCAGCAAGCCAAAATATGCTCAGTCACAAAAATAAATTTGAAAATTAACTCATAATAATCTAGTGTGTGGGGTATCAATACCCATGAACAATAAAAAAATTCTCAATTAGGCCAGAAGGCCCGGAACCCGTCAACAAAAATACACTAATGGATGTGAAAAAATAAAAAATTCCCTTACAAATGGCTAGTAAAAGCATTTGCATAGGCATTACATATGCCCATTCCAAAGGTGAACTATTTCTCAAGCCAAACATGAAGAGGCTGTACAAGTGAAAGGGCAAAAGGAAAGCAAATGATAATGGCACAACAGAACTTACCATTCTCATGCACTGGAGTCGAAGTATCCTTTAATGGGGATGCTTTCTCAGCACCAACCCTTTGAGGCCACTGTTCTTTTGGACGAATGACGAGTGCTCTTGGGTTTTCTCTGGGAAGGAAAAGAGCATCCGCCTTGGGTGTGTTATCTGTTTCTTCATCGTCAACAAAGAATGGGAACTGCAAAACAATAAAGGCAAATAGGTGTAAGCACAAAATTCAAATGTAGCCTGAACAGAAAACCAAATACGGATTAACTGTTTACATGAAGCATCACCCTCACCCTTGGATCATCATTCTTAGGATTATATTTTCTCGCAGGTAACCTGACCCGCCTTTGTGACAGGTGTCGAGAGGTCAACAAATATGATACCTTAACAGGCGCAGGTTTGTCTACGACCTGGGGAAGAAAAAAAGTCAAATGTCACCATCCTAAACCCTTCACACGAGGATTAAAGAAGAAAGTTATCAACTTAAAATCGCAACCACATAGAAGTGATTGTCGACAGAAATTAACACCTTAAAGTCAAATTCAATTTCAAATTAAACACAAACAAAACCACATAAGAAATTCATATTACAGGCATGCTTGAAATTCCATATTGAATTGACGGTGCAGTTCCACCACGACCAATTGACATCTGT